ATCTATGTTTCAAATAAGTTTGCATTACTACAGTTGTTACCAATTTAACATTATTCACCAACCACAATCTAATTATTTTAATACCAAGAAAATTAACAAGTTTTATTTTTTAGCTATTACACCATTGCTAAATTAACTATTAAGAAAATTATTACACCTCAGCTAATGTTAACAGTGCCATATATGACAGGAATTACAAAAACCTATTTAAACATGCTAATTTAATATTTATTATACTGTAATACGAAGCTTAACATTTTTTCCGTGTTCCCTGATTGTATAAAACATAGAATGTAGTATTAACATTGCACATTTATAATTTATGACTATTTATTTTATAATAAAATGAATTACGATGAATGTTAAATGTGTATGAATGTGTATGCTTAATACAGTATATAAGAAAGTATTTTTATAAATTTAAATTCTGTTCAATTTTTAAATATGTTCTGTTTTTATCCCAATAAATCTCTGTCACAAATATTACTGGTAATATAATGTAATGCAGTAAATGTATTATAAATATGAGTTCCCCGACAGGCATACATAAGGTTTGACAAAAAAAATGTTATTCATATCACATGAGTGAGAAGATTGTATTTTTTTGTCCAAATTGTATGTAATTTTGTTTATCTCAGTCCTATTATAAAATACATAAGAAATGAAAAACGCATTAAATTGGATTTTTCGGGGTTTATTATCCAGTGGTACCGGTGCTGGCATTGGGTTTACATATCATATGTTTGCATTATATTTTTCATAGGAAATATGAGCCATCAAATCAAACATTGAATATCATAAGACAACAATCTTTTGATATTTGAGTTGAAACTTATACTACGTTTACCTGGCTGTCTAAAAATAAAAAATAGCACAAAACATTGTGTAACCAAACAAAAAAATAGATAAAAACATATGTCTATTATTTAGTTTCTCAAAGTATATAATTTCAATCGATTGTATGATTAGTATTGAAAATCATTCATTATATTCAGTATCGGATTCATAAGATATTTATAATAAAAAACTGTTGTATAGTTCAAGTAAATTATAATTAATTATATCTGTATATTTCATGTTACTTGCATAGTGTATACAAAATAACCCTTGTAATAACTTATGATGTGTAATAAAAATTTAATTTAATTCACATAACCTTGATAGATATCAAGAAAATTTTATAAATAATAAAAGAGTTCTTATAGAATATTCTGTGTATTATTATGTGTGGGGCTAAGTGTCTAGCCAAAGGTGCTGTCTAATAATGGCATACAGTAAATGCCTAACAAAATATTTATTATTAATATATAATATTTTTGTTCAACTTTTATTTTGTTTATTTGTTGAGTCCATGTGTTTATTGAATTACATTATTAGATACAAACGTCAAGAATATTCTGTAAATCACGAGTCGATATAAGGGCGCAGAAGCCATACGATACGTGTATGCAATGCATGGGAGCTATGCATCCAACAGATTAGACACAAGTATTAGAGCTTTATATCGCAGATTTGCACCATTTATTTGGGTCCACACACTCGATGGGAACGGTAAGCCATTNAATGCATGGGAGCTATGCATCCAACAGATTAGACACAAGTATTAGAGCTTTATATCGCAGATTTGCACCATTTATTTGGGTCCACACACTCGATGGGAACGGTAAGCCATTATTTATGTAATGTCTAGAGTATATAAAGGAACAAGAAAAAAGTTTGTGATAAATGATCGGAAAAAAATTGCTTATTCAAATAATATCATGAAATAACACTAGTATACTCAAATAGTTATTAGTGTTTTTGTATGAATTATTATTATTCGTAAAAATATAATTTAATAAATTATATATATTTTATTGATTGAGTACTTGTTTTTCAATAAGTATTAAGTGTTTTATATCGTAATAGACAAGTGCTTTCGAAATGTTAAAAATAAATTATAATTTATTGATTGCTTTTTCATTCATTGAATGAATGGATGAATGAAAACTGTTTGAAATGCTTTTGTATGTAATTAGCATTCATTAGCAAACAAAATATAATTTCATTAAAACAAACTCCAAATAATAAAAACATACAAAAAATAAGTTCACTTTTACTTTAAAATAACTAAAAAACTATGGATACGGACGAAACGGAAATGGAGATACTACTGGTGCCCACCGACAACTCCAGCACTTTCAACCTCCAGGACCTCATGAAGATCATGGAGGACAGGGATGTCGGTATGTCGGAGGAGCGCAAGAATCTCATACTAATCGTCACATACAGTCTCCTCGTCATAGTCTCCCTCATCGGCAACATATTGGTCTGTAAAGTGATTCTCGAGCGCCGCTCCTCCCTGTCCACCACCAATGTGCTCATCGCCAACCTGGCCATCAGTGACCTACTCATGACCACCATTAACATACCGTTCAACATCGCCCGGTTTGTCATACCCAGCTGGCCATTCGGACAGGTATTGTGTGTGTTGGTGCCGTTCATACAGTCGGTGTCTGTCCACTGTTCGTCCCTCACGATGATGTTCATCGCCATCGAGAGGTATAAAAGCCTTTTACTGAACACTCATATCAACGGCCACTGCTTTCGGGGCAATTGCTTCCCGTTTGCGGGCATTTTGCTACTCATATGGTTGCTGTCGGCGCTGTTCTCCATACCGCACGGCGTCTACAACCAAGTGGTCGGTGTGTCCGAGTGGAACGAAATCGTCAGGTGCCGAGTGGTCTACCCGGAGCCCAAGGATGTGTTCAAACAACGCTTTACAGTCATCTCCCTATTGACTCAGTACGTGGTGCCCATTGTCCTCACTCTGGTATGCTATGTAAGGATCAGTCTGTTTTTGTGGCGCCGGGAGATCGTGGGTCAGCTCACGGAGTGTCACCGCATATCCATCATTAGGCGCAAGAAAAGGCGCATCAAAATGCTGATTACGGTGGTCCTGGTGTTTGCCATCTGTTGGCTACCCCTCAACCTCTTCCTATTGATCACCTCATTTGATCCCCAGTTCTTCAACCCGAGTGCGTTCTTCATATGCCATTGGTTTGCGATGTCCAGTGTCTGGTAAGCCATACAAATGCCATACCATTCCCATCATGTATTGATAGATATATTATAGTTCGTAAAAGTTTTATGATTACTGATAGTATAGTTAACACTTGTATGAACTGTACTTTTTATTTATAAAGTTTTGTATTTAGCCAGTGAATGGGTAGACTAATTGAAATTGAAATGCAGGTGTAGGTGTGGAAAGCCTGCTACTGTTTGGTGGTAAATGTAGCGTAGTTTTAGGTTATACATTATTTAATTTTATTTATAAAATTGGTTAATTTTTTATAACATGGCGATGTCTATTATTAATTGAACTAGGGATTTAGTGATTAATTAAACAAAGTTGTTAATCTGATTAAATAAAGTTTTTTGACCTAAGTCAACTAAAATAAAAACTCTACCTGTATAGCAATTTACTAGAGATAATTATATTTACCATTTGTTACATGTTTGATAGATAAAATATAGTTTTACTAATTATGAATAATTAGAGTATACCTAAAGCCGATTTTAATGTCAATTTTATGAAAACTACTATTAATTAATAATTTGCATATTATGTTAATAAGAATATTAAGTATAATATTATAGTAATTTCTCATAATCTTACTTTAATTTAATTTTTATGACTAAAAGGTTAGTTCATGCTAAAACTAAAATTAGCAATATTTTAGTATAATTAACTAAACATAAGTTAGTTAATATGCTAAAACTTTAAAGTTATACAATTGTAGCTAGAATTTATTATAAGTTGAGAATGCTGAATATTTAAATATTTTCTAAAATAAAAAACAATAAACATTTGAATATTTAAATTGACGACAAATTATCTCGTATTTTATGTGCGGAATATTTATTTGTTGACAACGATATAAAATTTAAATTTAATTTTCCCATGCATTAGTTTAATTATATAACTAAAATACTGTATTATATACCTATTTGTAATAATATTTTGAATGTCTGTTTTATTTATTAATAAATTTTTAAAGTGGACATAATATAAAAGCTTTTATATGAACGCGTATAAATTATGTATATCCATTTGAATAACTTTATACTTAAGTCCATTAAAAAACAAAACTTATGTATAAATCTGACATTTTCATATCATTTTAGGTAAACAACATTCAGTATTGAGTTTAAATTTAAATTTAATATTAGTCGGACATTATCATGGCATGAACATGAATTAAATATATAAAATGTTTATTAATGGAATAAATATTGATAATATTAGTATTATTTTAAATATTTAAATAAATAACTTAAAAATAAATGGTATCCAGTATAATACTTAGACCCTCTAAAACCACTACAACTATGAGTATGCACACGCAAAATAAATTTACTGGCTCAAATAGTAAAGTATGTTAATTTACAAACATAATTATTGAAAACATTGATTCTGAATTAGATTATGTTAATTTTTAAACTAAATAAATTTTAATGAAACCTAAATTTACTTAATTGTGAACTAATTTAAATTGATTGTGAGCTAAATTATGCTAATTGTGGACTCAATTGACTTAATTGTGAACGAAATTAAGGTGATTGTTATCTAATTAAATTGATTGTGAATTAATTAAGTTGATTGTGAACTAAATTATGTTAATTCTTTATTTATTCTTACATATAATTATAAAGACTTAATTAGCTTAAAAATATATGATTACCCAAACTTTTAATTCTGGAAATAGAAATGCTTGCTTAGCACAATAATCAGCAATATTAATTATAAGAACTTATGAGATTTTGAAAGAATCACTATGCTAAATATATGTATGCTTATTTTGTATTAGTATTCATAAAATAATGAACAAATACTGATCTGAATGCGGATATTTGTATTCTTAGTAAGCGAATAATATAACCATAAAAATAGACACTGGTAAAATAAGTAAAAATATCATTCACACATTCAAATCTTAAGAATATCAAACAAAAATAGCATGGCTCTGCGTATCAGCTATAACACTTGTCGAAATCAGTTTACCCTGGTACACAAATATTATCGTAATGGAATATTAGCTCAATTATGAAAAAAGGAATTTTGTCGGCAATTTAAGATTAGTATTGTGTGCGTAAAAGCGATTATTATTTGTATTATTATTTTGTTTATTTTTGTGACAAAACCCGGTGTTGAGGCTTATCTAAACTGTCATAACACATGTGTCTGTCAGTCGTGTGTTTCCTAATATTTGTTTGTTTTTTACCTATTATTTACGGAATCTAGAGGTTGTGTGTAGTGTATGAGATACCAGTGCAAATAGTTTGGACATAATAATAATGTGATTTGTATTGAGAATATTCTTAATAACATTTTGATATATCGTTTCAGTCCAACGAATATTTTGCGAGAAATATGACATTTTATATAAAATTAATTCACTTAATAATAAGTCAATTATAGTGTTGCGTAACCATGAGACCGATTTAGTATTACTTTATTATACTATACTAGTACAATTACTACTATACAATAATATACAGTATACTATATCAAATATAATAAAGACATTTATTATTATATTTTTAATATAAAAAAGTTTTATTTTTATTTTTTTAATTTAAGAGTTATATTCAACTAAACTATTTCTAATATAACACAAATTATTTTCAAAATTTATGATTAATCTTTTATAAGGATTTAATATAGATATATTACTCTAGTGATTAAAATTTTTAGCAAGCAAATTTAATGTTTAATAATAAAATATAATATTATTGGTATTATACTATATTGTAAATAGCTATTATGCAAAAACTTAACGTTTTAAGCTTATAAGACAAACAAATAAATTATTTATAATACTATTGGCATATAATTGCAGTTATAATCCATTCATCTATTGCTGGCTCAACGAGAATTTCAAGCGACGCCTCAAAACACTTGTCATTTGTTTTACGGTCTCCACGAACGACGACAACTCCCGACCCCTCGACTCAAGTGTGCGCTCATACGGCACGAGGAGTACCCATTTGGCCAGAAATAATAGCACCGGTAGTGTCACACAAACGGTTTGTATGTCCACAAAAGCTAACGACAATACAGAAACTATTTTATAAGTCTCTCTCTCTCTCTCTCGCTCTCTCGCTCTCTCACTCTCTCTCTCTCGCTCTCTCGCTCTCTCTCACTCTCTCACTCTCTCT